TAAATTAAAAAAGCTTTATTGTATTAAATTAATTTTTATAATTAATAAATAATATCACAATCCAAATAATAGACTGCTTTTATCAAGCAATAGTAAAAGTAGCAAAAAATAAAGAAAAAATATGAAATAATAAAAAATGAATAAAGAATAATAAAAAATTATTGTAAAAATTAAGTCATAATAGGAAAATATATTTATGTAGATATTTATTAATGAATATAGATGATAATTTCTTTTAGAAAAATTATATTAAAAATAAATTGAAAGTTAAATATAAATGTAAAAGTATTTTAAAATTAAATATACTAAAGATCAATACGGAGAGCCTCATGAGATTAAAGCGAAGAGTTTAAAAACTTTTTTATAGATAAAAATAAATTTAAGCCATATATTCGTATACAAATTAATAAAGACTTCATCTAACTCTTCATAATATTTAATCTATAAAATCATTATTTTTTCTTTTCAAAGACACTGAATAAAAATTTATGGAAATTTAATTAATTTTTTTTGAATAAAAAGAACAAACAAATTATAATAATTACCAAATATTAATTTATAAATTTGCTTTGAGGAAGATATATCACAAAAAAATTAATTAGTTAGTTAATGTATGTATCGTATCATTCATTAGTTAATCTTATAATTTTTATTTAAAACATTGTATTTATTTTTAATTACTCCAAAATCTCTATTTTCTATTCTTGCAGTTCATTTATTATAAAATAATATTTGATCATTTTTTTACTTTTTATAAAAATAATGTTGTTATTTTAGAGGTTAGTCTTTTAGTCATTTTTAAAATACTGTTTAACTTGTTTAAAAAATAACCTAAATACAATATTTATTAAATAAATATTGCTAATCTTATATTGAATTATGCTAGTGGAATTTTAATAAGTTTTTATTAAAAAATTGAATGCTAAATGGTTAGTCTTTATGTTTTTTTCTTTTTATATATCAGAATTGATTAGATCAATCTACATGTAATTCTGTTAAAAACATAAAGAAGTCTTTTAATTAATTTTTATTCAAAAGAAATTAGTTTGCTTTAATTTCATAAAATATTATTAGCATTTTCAAAATTTAGAAAAAAAAAATACAAAATTTTGGATAGGTTATGGTAATTCAAATTTAATTAAAAAATTTTTACAAACTGATAAGTGTAAAAAAAAAAATGTATAAATCAGAAATTATTAAGTAAATACTTGTTATTTGTTAGACTATGAAAATTTTAGATCTTAAAAAAATAATTAGATTTAAAATAAAAAGAATAATTCTAGAAAGAAATACAAGAACATTATTTTTTGTTTAAATTTATTTTCTAACTCTTATTTTTGTTTTTAAAATAAATTTTAGTTTTTTTCTATAATTATTGAGACATATTTTATTTCTAACTTAGTATTACCATAAATCCTAATAAATTCTTGCTAAATCACTCTCAATGTAATTCATATATATATGTTAGAAAATAATCAAATTAAAAACTGAAATTAAATCTTTAGTAAATAAAATCAAAATTTATTAATGAGGATTTATGGTATTACTTATATGATCATATCAGCTTAAATTTTATTAAATTTTGTATTTACATAGTAGAGTTCTAAATTTCGCTGAAATATTAGCTATGCAAATTCATAAAAAATTAAAATTATAAATTCTAATTATCCTTACCTTTTTTAGAATATTGATCAAATTATTTAGAATAAATAAATAAATTTTACTATGGATTTAGATTAAATAATAAATAGTGCGCTAAAATAAAATTTCTGCTTGTAGAAATGATTTAAGTTATCAAGCAAAAGTTTTCATTATTATTATTATTAATATTAATAGTTTTGTAAATACTGTAAGTAGACATCAATATAAAATTATTAATATTACAATCAATTTTGAATAGCGTATATGTATGTATCTATATATCCATGAATCTATATTTCTTTAAATTTTTCTATCTAGTTTTCCTTTGATTTGTTTAATTACTAATTAGTTAATATATTTCTATAAAAAGATTTGAGTTATATATAATATATATTATTTGATAAATGTTGAAGGGTTTAAAGAAAAATAAGGTAGAGGATAGCAAAGAAAGAAAGCAAGAAACAGATATTCTTGAGCCACAAAGTACTAAGAATATATTTAACTCAGAAGATAAAAGCGATGATTCATTTTAAATAGCTTTTAAAACTTATGGTTGAGCTAATTTAATTGAATATTTTTGAATTAATTAGAGAAATGGAAGAAAACTGATAAAAAGAGCCATAAATAGGAAGAAGAAGAGCATCACGAGGAAGTTTTTTAGTAAGAATAAGTTTTAGGAAAACTATGTGAAGAGCTATGGAATTAGTTTTCTAAAGGTAAAATTAATTTTATCATCTATGCATTTTTTTAATGTAGAAGCAGCTAATTCAATATACATGTTAAATATATATAAGAAAAATTAATTAACTACTTTATTCATTTTTTAAATAATTATGCTAAACAACAGGTGAGACTATCAAAGCTACTAAGACTTGCGAAAAGCTTTTCATAGAATAGGATGAGTATTACCAGAATACTTTCAGAGGAGAGGTTAAAAATGCAGGTTTGCTTGAGTTGGATAAGGAGTTGTTTGATGATACTGAGGTGTAAAAAACATATGCCTCATTTAATGCAGAACAATACAGAGAAGCAGTGAAGATTGAGAGAAAAAATAACTAGGTTAAACATAATTATGATGACATAGCTGTTGATTTTTTCAAGAAATATAGAAACACTTATGATGATAATGAGTTACTTGATTAAGAATATACTAACAAGCAGCTTAATGCAATAGGAGACAAAGAAGAGCATGAAAATAAAAAGAAATCTAAAAAGGAAGAAAAAATATAACAAAAGAAATAAAAAAAAGAAGAGCAATACTAATTCTTTGCATAAAAAAAGTTAGACAATACATTAGAAAGTTGCAAATACTGCTTTAGCAATAAATAAATATAGGCAGAATAAATTATTTCAATAGGAACCTCAACTGCTTTGATTATTCCATAATATGGTAATTAAAATCAACTTAAAATACCTTAGAATTATATTATAAAACTAATAAATCAATAAGCTAAATAAGTTTTTCCTTATAGTTTCAAATACACAAAAATTAATTTATAATTCTTTAAAATATTAATTCTTGAAAAATAAAGAAGGTTTTTATTTAAATAACAAAAAATTATTTTTGCAAAAATTAAAAATAATTAAATTATTTCTTTGAATTTTTAATGAAAAATTTGCTTTTGAAGCAGCATTTGATTGTTAAATTTCCAAGAAATAAGATAAATATAAAAGCAAACAGATTTTTTAAAATAGAAATTTATTAAAATGAAATCAATGAATTAAATTTGAGTGATAATTTTTTTAAATTGTTAAATATCTACTGAAAACATTTTTATTTAAACCTATTATTTAGATCATCAAATTTACTTTTTTAGTTTGTATTTCAGGTCATATAAAAACATTTAAAGAATAAAAATCGTTTTTAAAAACATAAAATAAGATATTTGTTCGTTAATAATAAATTTTAATTTAATAAATAAATTTTACTTTTATTTTTTTGAGGTTTTATTGAAAATAATTTTTAAATATTTATTTAGTAAAATACGAGAAGATCTTTCATCTTTACATTGTTCCTTTTGATCATTACTCAAGCTTATCTGATGTTGATGAAGAAGTTTATGAGGAAATTAGAAATTTTTAGAAATGCTTAGTGCAAGCTTTTGATAAAAAAGATTATGAAGTCTTATTTATTGAAAACTCAGTCAATTTAAAAAGCTTACCTCATTTAGTAAATAATATAAGATGTAGTGAAAAAATATTAATTAATGTTTCTTATTTTAATTAGATTATTGAATGTGTTACTCTCCCTAGGAATACTGCAGCAGAAATACCAGTTTATTTCTAGCAAGGAATAGAAAATATGGAGTCTGATTGGAACACTCACAAAAAGCTCTATAAAATAACTAGAGAATAAGGTGGAATCAGAAGCTAAATTCCTAAAGGATTCCCATATTTCTATGTTGATTTTGGTTTGAGATATGGCTATGCCCACGTTGTTGAAGACGAAAAGGCTTTTTCAAAAAACTTTGCTCATGAAATCATATGCAACATCTTAAATTTAGAAAAACCAAAAGTTTTATATCCAGAAAAGGCATCTCGTGATAAAATATAAAATATAAAAGAATCATTTTTGCCAATTTGGAAAAACTATGATTGGACAACCTGCTTGTGAAGTTTATTTTAGAAATTCTCTGAGTATTACTAAATTATTTGTTATTTATAATGAATAAAAATAGAGTTTAATAAAATTTAATCAAGATTTAAAAATATATTAAATTGCCTAATTTAAATTAGCTTAATTTATATTTTTTGAAGCAAAATTTCTCAATTCTATGTCGTAGTTTTTAAAAAATTTAATTTAAAATGTAAAAATAAATAAAAAACATTCTTCTAAATAATAATTATCTTGAAATACATTAAGACTTTCTAAGCAAAATAAATAAAAAATAAAAAAAGTATTATTACTTTACATGTAATTGAATCAAATTATTTATCAAATATATTTCAATTATTTCTACATTAAAAATGAACAATTTATTAAATACTTTTTTTTATTACCAGTGTTAACTGTTGTAACAAATAAATGCTTGATGTATTTATTTTTGACTTAATATTCAATCTATCAATGATTTACTTAAATAGGAAAATGTTTAAAAATCAACTTAATAAAATATCAGCAAAAACTTTTTATCTATTAATTTATCTATTTAATATCTTTTAAAGTAATAACTATCTAAAAAAATACTATTATTGCACATCTTTAAATAAATTTATTTTTAAATAAGATGAATATTTTAAACTTATTAAAATTTTTATCTTCATTTTGTTAATCTTTTCAGAACTTGAGTATTAATTACTATTAATGTTTTTTATAAATGAGCTTTGATTTTTTTAATCGATTGATAGGTGAGTAAATAAAATAATATATTCATGTATTGACTTAATCATCTATAAATATCTATTTAAATCCTAATTATCAATAATATATCATTTTTAATATAAATACTATTTTTTATCATTAATAAGCTCAATCAATAAATTACTTTGAAAAATAAATACTCAAACCCTTATTATTTTATATTTTACTTTAAGAAATGTTTTATTATTAACTTCCCTAATAAATTAAGAAGAATTATTTATGAAAATGGTCAAATTAAAAATTTATTACACTTAAAAAAAATACATCATTAAATTAAAAGTTAATGTAAATTACTTAGCAATCTTATTAGACTTTTTTTAATTTCTCAGTAAACTACAATATTACTCTCTGTTAAATTTTTTTAATCATTTTTTTTTAGTTTTTAGAAAAATATTGTAAAGTATTTTTGGTAAATTGCAAATAAAAATGAAACACAATAAGATTCATATATAATTGAAGGAAAGATAAAAGTAAACGAAGCATTTCTTGTTAAGTATGATTCAAAAAAAATAAAATTTTTCTGAAACCTGGATTAGGTAAAGATATATATTTATATATTTGATATATTTTTAAAATGAGAATGTAACATCTTCTTTTTTTCTAAATGCATAACTATTACCTTCGAGAAATTTCCCAAAAGGAGATATTTTAGTATTAATTTATCTAATAAAATATTTTTTAATAGTATTTTATATATTTAAATTGACTGTTGATTCTTTTCGCTTACATGCTTTTTTTCTAAAGATATGAATGTTTTATTAATTTGCGATAATCAGAACATGGCTTACTTCATTTAGGTTAAGCAATTTATCTTGTAATTCGTAATTTGGAGTAATGTAAAATTTACAAAAATAATAATAAATTAACCTTTACTTTTATTTAGTAGTGATTAATTGTCTACATTACATTTAATGTGTCTTAAGATTTTTAATAAAAAATAATTAATTGGACACTTGCTAATTTATTGATTTAATAAATTATTCATTCTTTTATTTCTTTATATATTGCTTGAATAAAGTTTAATTAATTTCAAATCTAACTAAGAATTTTTGTATTTTTCTTATTGCTTTCAATCTTTTTTTTTATATCTCTCTAAAATAAAAGCATTAATTGTATGGATTTAGCCACAAGATATTTTTAAATTACTTTTACATGCATCTTAAGATAAATATGATTATTGCTTTCTTCACAAGGAAGGAGTAAAGCATAAATATTATTTTAAGATATTTATTTCTTGTTTTATACCTTCATAAAGGAAATTGATAGTTAAACAATTTTGACGAAAAAAACCCCCTTCTTTCGTATTATGAAGACTTAGCAATCAATTTATTATATTAACTATAATAAGAATATTGAATGTTATTTTCATTTTACTTAATTACTCAATATACTTCTTCATCAAATTCTTTTATATGTTTGATTGACTTAATGAGTGAAAAGACATTGAAAAATTAGTATTTATATAAAGTAAATTAATATTCAAACAAAATTTTGATCAAAGAGTAATTAAATGTCTTAAAAACATTTGTTATTAGCTGCTCTTTTAGGTGTAATCCTTCTTGCAGCAAGCTTCGCCTAGGCTAATCCTGAAAGACCTAAGCGTTTTTATGATGATGACATCCTTGCCAAGCATAAGGCTCATGGTCCTCGTCCTGGATCTGAAAATGAAAAATTATACATCCACTTAATTCCTCATTCTCATGATGATGTCGGCTGGCTTAAGACTGTCGATCAATATTACTATGGATCAAATACTACAATCCAATGGGCAGGTAAAAAATCAAATATATAATTTAAACTAAACCATGTAATTCCATAATAATCATTTCAACGAATTAAAAACTTAGATTTTAAATTAAGTTACTTCCATTTTTTTATATGTTGGAGTTTAAAAAATGTTGGAAAATATATTTATTAAAAATTGAGCTCAGACAATCAAATATAAAATTAACATTCATTTGTAAAGTAGAATAAACAAATTAAATAATTAGAATTTAAGTTATATATTTAATTGATATAAATTTTAACAATGAAATAGGTGTTTAATACACAATCGATACTGTCTTAGATGAATTGCTTAAGAATTCTACCAGAAAATATGTTTAAGTAGAAACTGCCTTCCTTTACAGATGGTGGATTGATTCCCCAGTCGAAAGATAGGAATAATACAGAAAGCTTGTTGAAAGTGGTTAAATCGAAATTATCAATGGTGGTTGGTGTATGAGTGACGAAGCTACTCCTTACTATGAAGATTTAGTAGACTAAATGACTGTTGGTCACTAATGGCTCAAGGAGTAATTCGGTGATAAGGGTATTCCCACTATTGGATGGCACATTGATCCCTTCGGACATTAGGCCACTAATGCAGCACTCTTCAGTTAAATGGGATTTAATGCTTGGTGGTTTTCTAGAATTGACTACCAAGATAAAGATGTTAGATTGAGTGAATCTACTATGGAAATGATTTGGAGTCCTGTTCAAGCAAGTGGTGAAGATAACTACATTTTCACTGCAGTTAACTACAATCACTACAACCCTCCTGATCGTAATTCTTTATTAAACTTTTATAAATATTTTTATAAGAAACTCTCAAAAAATGCATTATGTTTAAGAAACAAATTCTAAAACAATTAATCAAATTAATTAAACAAACTAAATAAATAGTAAATAATTGTGTTGTGTTGAATAAAATTCAGGATATAGAAACTTTGAGGTTTATTAATAATTAAAAACTCTTCAATATCCTACTAAATATCATTCGTTTTATTAATCAATTTATTATTTATTTAAATATAATATCTATTTAAATAAATAATTAATATCTTTGATCAAAGTTTTAGAAGAATTACTAATTTTTTGTTTCTGCATTAGAAAAGGATAAAATAAATAATAGTTTTTAAAATATGTTTTTAATTTACAATAAAATGATAAATGAGATAAAACAATTTTATAAATTACTAAATAAAAAGACTTTAACTTCGATATTTTGTCTAATGATGACCCCATTATGGATAATCCCAGATTAGAAGGATATAACATTGACTGGAAATCAGCTGAATTCGTTGAATATTTCCGTAATATGTCAGCACACTTCAGATCAAATCACTTACTTCATACTATGGGTGAAGATTTCAACTACGCCAATGCTCTTATGTGGTACAAGAATATGGATAAGTTGATTAACTATATCAATGCACGTTAAGACTTCTTCAATGTAGAAATCTTATACTCTACTCCTTCAATTTACTTGGCTGAAGTTAATAAGCAAAACATTACTTGGCCCACCAAGTACGACGACTTCTTCCCCTATGCAGATCAAATTCACGGATATTGGACTGGTTACTTCACATCCAGAGTTGCTATTAAGGGTAACGTTAGAGACAGTGGTAGATACCTCTAACATTTAAGAAACATCTTCTCTGTTGCTAAGATGACTTCTTCAAGCAAATTCCTTGAAGAAAACTATCAACTTTTCCTCAGCAATCTCGATGGCTTTGAATAAGTAAATTTCTTTAAACTTAAATAAGATCTAAATAATTTTGTTTATTTATTTATTTAGAATATGGGTATTTTACAACATCACGATGCTGTTGCAGGTACTGAAAAGCAACACGTCGCTTACGACTACGTTTATAGATTGTAAAACTCTACTGATAGAATTAATGAAGTTCTCCATCCTGTCTTGGAAGAATATGCTTCTAAAGAAATCAATGAAGAAGTTGAATATTATTAATGCAGATGGAACACTACTGCTAACAACTGCACTTTTACTTATGAAGGTTTGAATTACGGCAGACCCATTTTATTGAATGTCTACAATCCCACAGTTTCAAGATCAATCGTTGTCAAGATTAAAGTTCCAAATGTTTCCTTCTCTATTATTGACTCTGACAACAAGCACATTTATGGTAATTATAATTTGTTTTAATGTTTTTTTTTAAAATGTTTTATTTTATATTTTCAGGTGAGGTTTTCTGTCTTAATAACTATGATAGAACTGACTGTGACTTGTATTTCGAAGATAATTTCGATGGATACTCATATAAGTATTACAAGCTCGTCCCTGGAAGTGGAAAGAACTCAGTTAACAACATTATTGGAAGACACGTCAGTTTCTAGAAGAAGTCATAAAAAGTTAAAGTCTCCGATAAGGTCTCTTTGACTGTTAACAGATTCAACACCATTTTCAAATTAAAAACCTGCTCCAGAAGAACCTCTGAAAATGATGAAGAAAACTCAGTCTGCACTGTTAATGACTTCGAAGTTCTTTATCACTACTATCCCGCTTATTAAGGATAAGGCTAAAAGTCAGGTGCTTATGTTTTCAGACCTGCTACTGAATATATTGATACTCCCACTGCATACTCTGAGACCAAGAACCAAGTAAATTAAAATTAAAAACAATAAACCATTTAAGTCAACTAATTTAATTAATTAATATTAAAAATAGTTTATTTTCCATGGTAAATTAGTCACAATCGTTCTTATCTAAGGTACTCATACTGACTCTCAACTCAGAGTCTATGCAAGTGACTACTACAGACACGTAGTTGAACTTGAAACTTTCATTGGAAGTATTCCCATCGAAGACAAGGTTGGTAAGGAAGTCGTTCTCCTTATTAACACTCCTGTTATCAATAACTAGACCTTCTATACTGACTCTAATGGTCTTGAACTCCAAAAGAGAATCCTTAATTACAGACCTACCTGGAACCTTTCTGTAATAATAAATTCACAATAATTTTTAAAAATTTGGTTAAATTAATCAAATTAATTATTAATAGGTTAATGAACCATCATCAGGTAACTACTATCCTGTCAACGGTATGATCACTATCTAAGACATCAACAGTAACAAGAGAATTTCTTTGGTCAACGATCGTTCTTAGGGAGGTACTTCATTGTAAGAAGGTCAACTTGAACTAATGATTCATAGAAGGTAACAAACATAAACAATTTTATTTTTTCAAAGTGAATTAATTGTATTAAAATTAAATCAATATGTAGACTACTCTTTGATGATGCTAGAGGTGTCGGTGAACCTTTGAATGAAACTGAACCCTACAATAACAGTACCGGTTTAACTTAAAGAGTTAGACACTACATCGTTTTTGAAGAAGGTGACCAAACCTTGTCTAGAAAAATTTAGACTCACGTTGATACCTATCCTATTGTCTTCTAATCTCTTTCTTAGACTGCAAATTTCAATAATGTTAGACTCCCTAACAGATTTAACCCTCTTAAGACTAACACTGATCCCTTCTTGAAGGTTTACTACAGACCTTTTGGAGATCTCTATCTCTTGAGATTAAATAATTTAAATGAAGTTGATGCTTCAAGCTACACTCTCCCTGAAGGAGTAGAAATAGTTGAAGAAGTTACTCTCACTGCCAATCAAAACAAAAAAGAATGGGAAGAAAAAAGATATAAGTGGACAATTGAAAATAGCAGCGAATAAAATCTTAAGTTCTCTGAATCAAGCAGACTCAATAGACTTCTTTCTCAAGCTGAATAATGTAATTAATTAAATTCACAAATATTTATAAAATGATAATTTTTTTTGAAAATATTAATAGAAGACAATAAATTATATGTTAAGCCTTTGGAGCTTAGAGCCTTTATTGTAAGTTTCAACGCTGGTACATCATAATAACAATAGTGAAATTGTTAAAAATTAATAAATTTAATATATAAACATTCAATAAACATAATAAATGAGTAATTATATTATTTATAACTCGACGAAATGTTTGATTATAAGATAATTCATTAGTCTTTCATCCTATTAATTAAATTTATCATTTATATTAAATATTTTTCTTAATAAAAATTACTTCTTATAAATTTTAATAATACATGTACCCCTTACCCTTTAATTAAAATTAAAATTTTAATAAATAAAAAATATTTTTTACATAACTGGGATCAAACTTATTTGGAAAGTTAATATAATGAAATTGATATTTAAAATTTTAAACTCACTTATAAATCTAATTACAAAAATCTTATCAAATAAATTCTGACAAAACTTTAATGAAAAATGAACTTATAAATTTAATTTAAATTTATGTAGCCAAAATAATATGTTCAACATAAAAAAAACATTCAATAATAAAAAAAATCAAAAATATTAAAATGATATTGGCATATGATTTTTTCTGATTAAATAACAAATTTTATCTCAAAGAATTAGGAAGAGCAACAATATTTTTAAGCTATCTATGAAATTTATATTTAGAATTTTAAATTATTCTATGTAATTTCTTTAGGGCATTAAGAAGAAAAAAAATATCTCTATGAACATTTCTTAAGTAAAATATTTAGCTTATTTGATAATTATCAAATTTATTCTAAGATTTCATTAAGTTTCATTTTACTGAAAACATAGAGTACTAGGCTGCTTGTTTTTTTTAATGAGATATATTTAAGTATGATAAAATTTTTGAAGAGGGCCATTAAACATTAATAGATAACAAAATTTATTCCAGTAGCAATTAAAAAAAGCTCTAGAAACTAGTTAGCTTCACTAGGCTAAGAGCCAGAAATAACTGATAAAATAATGTAATAGTAAAGCAGAAGAATCAATATTTTAGTTATAACTGATACTACCTTCAGTATTCCTTTCTTTTTATAAAGATAAATTGAGAAAAAAAGTACTAGTTCGATTATGATTAGACTAATTATTGAAATAAATATTCTTTAAATTAGTAAGTGAAAATCACAAAACAGTACTGACATAGCCAAAGAATGAATAACATTCAAGTATATTATTTAGAACCTCAATGGTCGAGATAGTTCTTTATCATATACAAAAAAAATTGAAAAGAAATTGTGAAAAATCATAATTCTAACCAAAAAGTTTTTCTATTAAAAATTATTAAAATATGCTTTTTTTCCTTGAGGATTTTAGTTAACTATTTCTATTTCGTTAGAATTTTTATTTTAGTCCTCATTTTTTAGAGGAGTACCGTTTTGTTAATTTACAAAACCTTTCTCAGAAGATGAATATGTAGGGGCTTGATCAATGTCTAATAATTAAAATTCTTCAATTTTTTCTTTAAATCCCACTTTTTAGTTAGTAGAGGGTATTAAATCTGCTTGAAAATACCTCATCTTATGAATGATCTCTCTTTTATTCAAATTTTCATTATTAGATTATATTTTGCAAGTAAAAGGCATAGATTCTCTTTCTAAGCTTTTTATTTTAATATCTGTTTCTTTTTATTCTATTTTCTACTTGTCTAAGGGAGAGTTATCTATTTTCTACATCTAAATTAGACTTATCTTCTTGCTTTTTGGTTATTTTTATTAAGAAAAATCATTATTTTTTTCATATCTTTAAATATTTTTGCTTTTTTACATTTTTTACTCAAACCTATTAGAAGGTGTTAAATTTATTTAGTCTATACTTTGCTTTTAAATTATTGGAAGTTAAGTCTCTGGAGTCATTGAAAATATTTCTTTTTATAAAGATTTTTAATCTAATTTTCTACCAAAATACCAAAGTATTAATTGAAGCAAAGCTGTAATAGCTAATAACCAAAAAGCGATGTACTTGTAAGGTTCTTTAAAATTTGTTAAATTAAACCATCCTTAAGAACCAAATGCAGTATTTAGGTTTTAATTCTAAAGTAAAACATCATCAAGCTACTCAATAAGGGTTGTTGGAGATTAGTTTTGGCATACACAAGAGTAGCTGTTGCTAAGTTTATTTTTCTTAGACTGACACTAATTTGTTTACCACTTGTTATTTATGTTTTGAATACAAGTCATGTTAAAATTTTTATTAGAGTTAGAATTGTTAAATTAAAAGAAAAACATTGAGTCATTAAGCATATTTTAGTTTGAAATGCTCTTGATTTGTGGTGATATTACTTAGTTATTTGATATAGTAATGTTAGGATATTCAAATAGAAGAAATAAATGTAATAGCCAGGGAAGTATTAAATACGCATAACTATTTATTTTCTTTAAATGAAAGGTAATGATGATCGATTCATTGAAGAAATTTAAGATTTAAAATAATATAATTAGTTTACATTAAAAAATCAAATCATTTCTTTTATATTTATTATTGACTTTTATTTTACTTTTTATTAGTCAATTTGTTCATTATAAAGCTATAATCATTAAATATTTCAAAGAAATAAAATAAATATCTGATAAAATATGAAATGGGCATATCTAACTATTTTCGTTGTTTTGAAAAACTTAGATTTTTATTAATATGAAAAATAAATAGAAAATTGAATATTAGCATTTATAACTTAAACTCTATTTTAGATAAAAATTAACTTTTAATATTTATTTGTTAATAGGTTTAAATCAAAAATCAATCTATTTTGAATAAATATAAAACAGTACAGTATTCTCTCTGTAAATTTATATCATTTTACCAAAAAAAAAAAATTAAAAAATTTGTGACTTTTTTTTATTGCAAATTGTAAAAATAAAATATTTTAGTCTTTTGAATTAATGCCACTTTTTTTTTTACATTTTAATTTCAACTTACTTTATAAGTCTGTATAAATTATATTTGCTTATTCTAAAAAAGTTTTTACTTAGAAGATTTTAATAATGTGTGTAAGATAAAACCTTCTTTATTAGAAATTAATAAAAAAACACCCTATTTATTATTAATCCACCTTTAAAAATATTAGAAAATAAAATAATTTTTATTTCAATTTTGGCTTAAAGTTTTATATTCATATTTAATCAAAGCTTTTTAAATATGCTCAATACAGAAAATCATGTGACCAATAGACGCTTTGACTATAGTTTATGTAAACTTAAAGCTGATATTTATTTGAGAATAGAGAGAATTATGTTTATTACCAGTTTAATTGTGTCATTTAAAATCAAAATATTATTTTTTGTCTATTTTTAGTTTACCTTTAATGTAGATAAATAAATAGATTAACAAATATTTTCTTTAAAAAAAATATATTGAAAATAATCAATCATCTTGAGTTACATTTGTAAAAATTTTTTAAGATGAAAAAAAGTAAACAGTCTAACTGACAGACTTTTAGTCGCTATTAACAAATTTGTATTTTATACTACTTTAGTTTTACTTACAAAAATTAACGACTTGCATATTTTAAATTTTTATGAAATTAAATCAAAATAAATATTACTTTATTATCTTTATATTCTATTATTATTGTATAAAAAATTAAAAATGTTTTTTCAGTTTAGAAAATTTTCAAAATATACAAAGATTAATCCTAATGAGCTAATATGTCGCTCATCACCTTTGGTTTTTTTTCTATTTTCTTCTTATAATTATTTACATATCATCAACATCATTACTAAAATAGAATAAATAATTTTTTTAAATAAAAAGCTTAAATTACTTATGTATTTTTTACATCAACTTCACCTCATATTTATTATTTTTTAGAATAAATTCACAGTTTTATATCATTAGCTTTTATTTTCAAAGAATATGATGAAATGATCGTTTTGAACTAGGAAATCTGATTTTAGTATAATAAAAGTTAAGTCTTAGATAATTATGTTATAGCATTTTCTAACAATTTTTCAAAAAAATTAAAATTGGGATTTGCTAACATAAAAAATTATGCTAATGATGGGCTATTAAATACCTCAATTCAATTAATTTATATCCACAATTTTTTTGTTACTTTGTAAATTTATAAAGCTAAATGCTAATTATAAGTGTTATGATTTGATATCTGGTAATATCAGACTTATAACATTTAAATTTATAAAATAAAATAAATATTTTGGAATTTGATATTTTTATATCGTAGATTCATTCATTTTCTTCTATGGATTACTAATTTATTTAAATCTGCTTTAATAATACTCTTTTTTAATCAAAATATTAATTACTTGTATTGAAAATAAGTGAATCCTATTAAATTAAATGATATTCAATTTTGTGGTAAAATTAAATAGCATGAATAAAAGATTTAAATTAAAAATTGATATGAAATATTTGTGACCATATAATTAGATCCTTTTCTATTTTTCTAGTGTAATGCAAGCCTCTTAATCATAATAATTTCAAAAAAGTTTTGGTTTTTTGAAATTCAATTGTTATTTTAGTAACACTAGAAGATTATAATTATAAATGAAATTTAATTCCAAAATAAAATTTAGAATATCTTAAATTTTTTTTATAATAATTAATAATCAACTTTTAACTCATTTTAGTAAAAAGAAAGAATTAAATTGATATTAGTTAAGCAAAAAGCATATTGGTTAACTCTGTTAAGAAAAGCTAAAATAATCTAGATAGGATTCAGACAATTAGGTTAATAATTAAAGTAGTAATAATAATTACTTTTTATGTTAACAATTTTATTGTATAAGATAGGGTATAATTCCTTTAAAAATATTTTTGATTTTTAAAAAATTTAATTCCATTTTATATAATTATAATTATATTTTAAATTTTAGTAAAATAAATGGGCCTAGGATTTTCAAATTAATTTGTAATTTAGTAATAAACTGAATTTAGTTATATATAAATCATAATTATTTTTTTTGGTATTAAGGAATAAATCATGTAAAGAAGTAGAATTAAATTATGAGTAAATAAAAAGTTAACTAAATCCTCTTATTAATATAAATCTATTTAAAAGTGATTAATAAGTGAAAAAATCATTAATTAGTAAATTATCCAAAGATTTAACTCAGTGCGTTGGTCTATAATCGCTTAATTTAAGCTTTGCGTATTTTATTTTATTTTCTTAAATTTGTTTTTCAATTAATTTTATTAAATTATTAGTTCCAATGGTTTTAGTGATTCTAAATTAAAGTCTTTAGGGATAGGTATTTCTAGATGCAAGAATTTATGTGCTATTTCTTGAAATTAAGCGTTGAATAAAATTCAAAATTACTAAAGTTGATAAAATAAATAAATATT